GACCCACATACTATATTATGATGGTTTTACTAAGATTATGCCCAGGTAATCCCTTAAACCAAATGGTGCTTGTAGTCTTCCTGTTATTGGATGCTTTTTAAAAAAAAGTTTTTACTGATTTGAGAGAGAGAGGAAGGGAGAGGGAAAGAAAGAGAAACATCAGTCAGTTGCGTCCTACACGCACCCCGACCAGGTATCAAACCCACAACCTGGGCATGTGCCCAGATGGGGAATTGAACTAGCAACCTTTTGGTGCATGGGATAATGCTCAACCAACTGAGCCACACCGGCCAGGGCCTGTTATTAAATCTTTATGCCACTGCTGCTCTGGTTGTCCCCATACCTCTCCGAGCGCTCAGTTCCTGTCAGTTCCCCTTATGAAGGCTCCCTTCACCCAGAAATATTTGGGTTTTCTTTCTCCTTCTCTAATGTACCTCTAAGCAATCTTACCCTCTTCCTCATGGTTCACTAACCCTGACCTCTATTCTGAGCCTCAGCTGTCAGGCATCCAGGTACTCATTAAGTCCTGGGGATGCAAATGAAATAACCACAGTCCTGGCTTCATAAAGCATATAGATAAGTGGGTGATAAAAAAAAAAAATGGTAAAGAAAGACTCTCCAACTGGGAAAGTAGAACTATCTAGCAGTCATTCTGAAGATAAGCCCAGTGGAACATTAGGAGGGTGGCTTCAAGGCACCCATAAACTTCATAAAACTATATACAAAGTTGTGTCAGTTTATCCAAGTTCAGGGTAATAGGGTCTCTGGCTTTCATTAGATTATCAGAGAGGTCCTTGACTCAAAAAAGTTTAAGCTCAACTGATCTACTGATAGGATTTCAATGTAACATTGGAGATGATGCCATTTTGGTGAAAAATTAGGGCTTAATTAAGACATAGATTTGGGAGCCTTCTCTGCACAGAGGCAAGAGCTGGGTCAACTCTTCTCAAAGTCTTTAGCAATCTCAGCCACAGGCAGAGGACTGGGCATCCAATGGAGGCAGGAGGGGGATCTCTCATGCCTTCACTCAAGCTCCAGGAAGTCCAGCCATGGTTCTCCTGTAGCTTTGAGCCACACTTTCCCCCAATCCCTCAGCCCCACAATAATGCCACAAATCGCAAGTACCCACAGCTCCCAGTGTGAGACGTATGGAGTCAGGCTGTCCTGGGAATGTCAGAGGTCCCCAAAGCAGCCCGGGTAGACTAACAATCAATTCCAGGGACCCTCATGGTCAAATCCAGTCTGGAAACATGTTGTCTGGAAGAAGAGGGATTTATTGCCAACACTGAGAATTCGGAGGTTGTATGAAATGATAGGGATTTGTGTCTTTTCTTACACGTCTCAGGACCTGATACCGCCGGCCCTGTGTCCCCAGCACCATCGCATGGACTGGCACCTCCCTGGGGGGCCCGAGTTCTTCAGTTCCCATCCCCATGCCTTACACTTAGCTCTGTCCTCTTTAATGGCAACTGCCCACCCTCTGCACCTGAAACTCTGGTGCACACAAAGGCGAGCAGATTTAAAATAGAAAACCTTCGGGAAAGAGCTGCGTGCCAAGCAGAAGTTATATAGGAAGAAAGAGAGGAAGAAGTAAAACAGAAAGGAAACATATTCCCTTAATGCGAAATCTCCTACTTTATGTTGCCTACTGAGAAGGCTCTTATACAAAGACCATCCATGTTGATGCCATTTGGATTGCGAAAAAGCTCTTCTCCTCCCATCCTTTGCCAGAATAAAGTCATTATAATTCAAATAACGGGACCATGGGGGAGCAGGGGGAGGGGGGGACCACCATGTCCTAATGTTTACGAATCATATTGTATCTGCTTAATAACATCAGAAGGGCCATAAAAACTCCTTCCTACAATTAAATATCTCCATCAACTATAAACAGATTAAGCATTTTATAAGTGATGGTACATTAAAAAGAGATCATTGGTATGTGATTCTATTTTGTACATCAGAAATGCATGTGAATTAATGATTCATGATCACGACTCTATTTTCTAGTCTTTTAAAAATGCCTATTCATCATCTGTTAATGTTGCCCTAGCTCATAAAATACAAGCCAAGTTTTTGCTTTAGTGCGTTATATATACAGAGACAGCGTGTTTTCCGGGCACCCACAGCACTGCACTATAGTTACTTCTTTCTCTCTGTCACTAACACCACTGTCACAACCTCATTCACTCCCTTATTTATCAAGGCCAGAGGTCAGCCTTCCTGTATGTCATGGAGGAAGCAACATTTGGCCAAAAATCTGAAACTCACTGCATGTCAGCCAATCATTTGAACTTCATTCCTTCAAACTCTGAGAGCCAAGGGGTCTTGAAGCACTCCACATTCATTTGTTGTAATCATGGTAAAATACACATAACATAAAATTTACTCTCTTAACCATTTTTACATGTACAGTTCAGAAGTGTTAAGTGTAGTGATGTTATTGTGCAACCAATTTCCACAACTGTTTTCATCTTGCAAAAATGAAACTCTATACCCATTAAGTAACAACTCCCCATTCCTCCCTCACCCCAGCCCCTGGCAACCACCACTGTACTATCTGTCTCTATGCATTTGGCTATTTTAGATACCTCATATGAGCGGAATCATAGTTTTGTCTTTTGGTGACTGATTTATTTTATTTAGCATAATGTTTCCAAGATTCATCCATGCTGTTGTATGTGTCAGAATTTCCTTCCTTTTTAAAGACTGAATAGTATTCCATTGCATATATGTACCACATTATGTTCCACGTTTTGACTATTGTGAATAATGCTGCTATGAAGATGGGTGTACTGTATGAGTATCTGTTTGAGAGCCTGCTTTCAACTCTCTTGGGTTTATGTCCAGCAGTGGAATTGCTGGATCATACGGCCACTCTATTTTTAATTTTTTTAGAAACTGTTTTCCACAGTGATTACACTACTTATATTCCCACCTACAGTGCACAAGTTTCCAATTTCTCCACATCCTTGCCAACACTTATTCTTTTCTGTTGTTGCTGTTAATAGTAACCGTCCAAATGGGTGTGAGGTAGTATCTCACCCATTAGCTTTTAAATATCCCAAAGGTTATGCTTTGGTTCTCAGATGACACCTTAGGGATGAATCTACATTACTATTTGTAGAGAGCCAAGAATGTGGCCCTGTAGCATCGCATGAAGACAGTGAATATCTAGGTTGGGATGGGAATGAGCCATGGAGGCATCTCTGGCTGAGAAAGTTATTGGCCCAAAAGGCTGCCTTCCTTGTTACACAGCTTTGCCCATAGGTGGCTCTACTCTAATGCAGTTCTTCAGCTTTCAATTTGAGCAGGAAAATATAAGAACACTAGAAATGTTCGAAATTCATGCATGGGAGGAAGGGGTCCCTCAGCCTGGCCTGCACCCTCTCGCAATCCAGGATCCCTCGGGGGATGTCCAACTGCTGGACATCCCTCTCGCAATCTGGGACCACTGGCTCCTAACTGCTTGCCTGCCTGCCTGCCTGCCTGCCTGATCACCCCTAACCCCTCTGCCTGCCTTCCTGATTACCCCTAACCACTTGCCTGCCTGCCTGGTTGCCCTAACTGCTTGCCTGCCTGCCTGATCACCCCTAACTGCCTCTGCCTCAGCCCCCACCGTGGCGGCTTCATCCAGAAAGACGTCTGGAATGACATCGGGAAGGTTGTTTGGCTGTCCAGTCTAATTAACATATTATGCTTTTATTATTATAGATGGGGCAGAGGATGGGGGTGCTGGGATGGGGGGTTCTGTACATCTTGCAATCTAAGTCTTGTTTATTAAAAATTTGTAAACTGAGAAAGAACTTCATGGTTACCTGTAAAGTGTTCTCACTGCTCTTCCATTATTCCTTCTTGCGATCCCTCTTTATACCAACAGTGTCCTAAAACTAGGACCAAGTGAGAACACTTCTCCCCTCTCCTCTAACGTAAGACAGAATCATGAAGGTTTAAGTCAGTTTGGCCTCAATTAGAAATCACAAACATTACTGAACTATAACTCGAGTATCTTCTTAATTGAAAAGTCAGGGCATTTGTGGCTGGCTGAATAATGATCCTCCCCCGCGCCCCGCCCCCCTTCACCACCCTGCCCCCCCACCCCCCCACCACCCAGCCGCCGGGCAAAAAAAAATATCCACCTGTACATGTTACTTTATATGGGGAAAAGTACTGGGCATATGTAATTAAGGATCTTGAGATGGGGGGATTACCCTGGAGTACTCATGTGCACCCCAAATGCCATCATAAGGGTAGGCAAGAAAGTCAAAGAAAGAAGAAGTCTGTGTGATGAAGGAAGAGGGGAAAGGGATGTGATGCAATCATGAGCCAAGGAGTGAGGACAACCTCTGCCAGCTGGAAAAGGCAAAAAGGTGGATTCTCCCCTCGACCTCCAGAAGGACCCCACTCTGCAGGCTCCTGGAGCACCATGACAACTGATATTCACCATGATGAAAACCAGAAGGGACCACAAGGAAAAACAGAAAAGAGGTGGAAGCCTGATTCTGGGGAAAACCACCACCCCATTCCCAGAAAGATCATGAATATTCCTCTCCCTTATTTGCCTAGACCACCCCTTCATTTCTACCCTCGTGGATACACAACTTCTCTGCCCCAAGCCAAAACCAGAATATGCTTCTGCTTCCCCATTCTCTGGCCATTGAATTATTTTTTTTTCATATGTCCACTTTTAATTATGGATAGAACCATTGAATAAAGCTTGTGCTGAACAGCAAGAGTCCCCTTTAGGGGTCTTAGAAAGGGGGCTTTCACATCCTGTGTAACACCATCAATTCAGTCTTTCAGGATTTCTGTTTAAGAAGCTGCTCTTGAAAACTGTAGCTAAAGGATCAAAATGCTGCGATGGCAGGACACCCAAAATTCCTAAAGCAGCGTTTACACACCACTACCCCATCCCCAGGGTGTCCCCTAGCCTACTCCCCTGGCTCCTCTGTCCTCTGGGATTTGGGACTCAAGGCCACCAGAGCGTGCCTGCCACAGACCTGATGGGGAGAGAAGGGTCTCCGGCGTCCCACCAGTCTTTCGGGGGGCTGATGTACATGCACCACAGCTCCCAGCTGTACCCGTGGGCCGAGTTCTCGTACCGCTGCACCTCAAAGGTGTCCTGCTTGATGTTGTCGATGGACGGGAGGATCACCCGCTTCCGGTTCTCCTGGATTCGGGAGAGAACCGGCTCAGCCCTGAAACAGAGAAGCAGAAATAAAGTCTCTCTCCTGAGTAGCCCACACCTCAACGGGCACAGACCCCCGGATGGCAGGAAATGAACAGCAGCAATGTAGCTCATGGACAGGCTTTGGCAGGCTGGAACTCTGGGTGCAAACTGAGGCTCCCAAGTGGGCTGCCCCAGTTGGATCGTGCAGCTGTAAGTGAGCGCCGTGCCACGCAGCTCAGGCCCTCGCCAAGTGGGATGCTACCATGCTGATGCCTGCAGGAGAGGCCTGGAGCAAGAATTCAGAAAGTGCCAGCCTGTCTTTTATACCTGCCGAGTAGGCCAAAGCAAGGCCATCCGACTCTATGCTTTGCATCGCATTACAGTTTTACATAGCGGCTTCAGTTCCCCCTCAGGGCACTGGTAGATGCCTCTTGTATTTTCTGCAGGAGCTGAATTCCCTTTCCCAAAATAGGTCACTTCTGTCCTTAATGGCCTGGTTTTAATAAGCATTTCGCTAGCTTCTTTGTGTGTGTGTGTGTGTGTGTGTGACTATTTCAGCTGTTTTAATTGATTATTTGATTTCTTAAAAGGGATCTAATTGAATTGGTTAGCAATGGCTGACCGGATGGATGAATTAAATGCAAATGCAGGCAGATTCCTGCCTCCCAGAGAGCCTGCCCCTCAGAACTGCACTAGGAGATAGGCAGTGACCTGGCTCCAGGTTTTTTTGTTCCTTTGTTTTTGTTTTTAATTCTTGTTTAAAGTATTACATAGGTCTCCTTTTTTTCCCATTGACCTCTCCCCGGCCAGCCCCACCCCCCAGTACATGCCCTCACCCCCTAGTGCAGCGGTTCTCAACCTGTGGGTCGCGACCCCTTTGGGGGCCGAATGACCCTTTCACAGGGGTCGCCTAAGACCATCGGAAAACACATATATAATTACATACTGTTTACAGTAGCAAAATTACAGTTATGCAGTAGCAACGAAAATAATTTTATGGTTGGGGGTCACCACAACATGAGGAACTGTATTAAAGGGTCGCGGCATTAGGAAGGTTGAGAACCACTGCCCTTAGTGAATGTGTCTATTGGTTATGCTTTTGATTGATCTCTTCCCCCTGCCCCCCACTCCAGCCCCTCCCCTGCCTTCCCTCTGAAGTTTGAAGGCTCCAGGTTCTAGGTGTAGCCCTGCTGGCTTGGGAGAAAGCAGATGGTAAGTCACCCTGCCAGTGTGTGTCTCCGCAGCAGATGCAGGCAGGGCTCCTTCCCACATTCCGGAAGAAGATGGCTCTCACAAGCCAGGCATTAATCTCCCCGCTTAACATGGGGCACAGGCTCCGGAAAAGAGTCAAGTGAAATCCCATTCCTCTGCATTATTTGGAAGAATGATGAGAATGCTCGGCCTACATCCCATCTCTTTTCATTTGCAGGTATTGAATTACCTGCTGGCTCACCTCATCTTTCTATTTAAAATGAGCAATAAAATATACGCTGGACCATTTACTGCCTCCAATACTTCTGCACACACCATCTAAGTTGAGGTTGAGACACGCTTCAGTTCTTTGTCCCCTCCTAGTCTTCTCTCACGCTGCTCTCCCCTGGGAATGCCCTTCTGCCACTGGCAGGAAGTCTGGCTACCGACCGAGGCTTATTAGATCATGTGCCGTCTCTTCCAAGAAGCCTTCCCTAATTACCCCCAGTAGAAAGGCTCTCTCCTCCTTCTCAACTCTTAGACCATCTTCTCCACCTTATCCATGTCACTCTGATTACAGGCTGCCTTTGTTAATCTATGAACACATATTTTTCCTAATAAGCTAATGACAGTTCATATTTATTGATTACTCACTACCAGCTAGGCGCCATTCTAAACATGTCACATGTGCTGGCTAGTTTAAATCTCACAACAATCCCATTAAATACATAGTATGGTCATCATTTTACAAATGAGGAAACGGAGGTCCAGGGAGGTTAAGTCACTTGCCCCAAGCCACATAGCCAGCTGGTGGCAGAACCAGGCTTCTAACCCAGGTGGTCTGGCTTCCGCCCCAAACCCAAAGCCCCACTGTCTCCTTAAATGGACCACACTTCCCCCAGGTTGCCTGGTGCCACACACTGAGAAGCATCCAGCTCAGTCTCTCTCTGGATGGTTTACTGAGCATGGGGACAGGAGACTGTGTTCAAAGAATGCTTGTGAAGTGAGCAGTTTCATCTCGTCAGGGAAAGTGTGCACCACTGTTCCTAGTAATTTGATTCCCCTTCCAGGAAAAGCCCTGCCTCTTACCATGTGACCCACAGGGCCTCCCGGCAGAGGGCTGTACTCTCTCCCTCAACACCAATGTTTAGCTTGGACATGTGACTTGCTTTAACCAGGGGGATGTGAGCAGAAGTGACAATGTCACCACAGAGCAGACACTTTCATAGTCATTGCAAGGTCCAGCCGGCATTCTTTTCTCTGAGCTACAAAAGTGGTGTTTCCTAGACAGGAGTGAGTCCAGAGGACAAGTGGAGCAGAGCCACAGATAGCCCATGCCAGACGTGCCACATGGGCAAGACAGAAATCTTTATCATCATCAGGAGGCTGAGAGGATTACTACAGGCCAACTTGGTGAAAGTTGAGACACAGTGTCTGCCTAGAACGAGGAATCACAAGGGACCTATGACAATGACAATGATGGACTGAGTAGATAGCAGATAAATTTCTCCCTGCTTCCCAGTTTTATGCCAGACTATGGTCTCACCTTCTTTTCCAACCACCCCTTTTCCATTCTTCCAGGAGCCCCAGAGGAATCAGGCACCCACCTCCCAGACTCTAACCCAGGGGTGGGCAAACTTTTTGACTCGAGGGCCACAATGGGTTCTTAAACTGGACCGGAGGGCCGGAACAAAAGCATGGATGGAGTGTTTGTGTGAACTAATATAAATTCAAAGTAAACATCATTACAGAAAAGGGTACGGTCTTTTTTTTTTTTTAGTTTTATTCATTTCAAACGGAACGAATCTGGCCTGTGGGCCATAGTTTGCCCACGGCTGCTCTAACCCCTCCTGACCTCACTGCAGGTCCTGAGTACCCCTAGGGTTCAGCACGTGACCTACCAGCCAGCAGTGAATTCCACGTGGGCATCAAAGAAGCCAGTGACCTGGCCGGTGGCCGCCTTCCAGCCTTCAATGCGCGCTCGGATCAGGCCCTCCCGTTTTTGATTGCGCACCACCTTCACCAGCCCCGGGTAGCGTTTGTGGACGTACTCCTCTAAGGGGGCCTTCAGCTCCTCTGTAAATGACAAAACACAAGATGGTCCATGACATGTCATCTCAAACGTATGTCCAACCCACTGCGATGCCGACAGACCTTCAGGAAATTGAGAATGCGGAAAAGTTTGCGTGTTGGTGATTTTAGAAGAAAATTGTGACAACCCAGTCAGTGTGAGTCAGAAGACATCTACGACACAGCGGCCCAGGACAGCAATGTTCTTCCAGCAGCCGAGCTGCACACCTGGACAGAAATGAGGCCCGGCTTTTAGAACCCACTGCTGCAGGCTGGCAGGCGTCCTCTGAGGTTGATTTTCTTTGTGGCCCACAGCCCTTCCCTGGCCAGCATCTCTGTCCTCCCACTGTCCCCTGGTCCTGTTTGTCAACTGCTAGATGGGCATTTCCATCTGCACATTCACTGGTTTTTATAGGAAACGCCCAAAGTGGTCCAGACACATAGTCATGCACCAGAGGCAATGTTAACAGGGTCAGTGCTTTGGTCTTAGGATGTGAAGGAAATCTTTGCCAAGTAATGAACATGCCGCCATGGGCAGAAGCAGTGCTCACAGAGATGACGTACATCTCCTTCTGCATGAGCAGGTAGTGTAAAGTGCTTTATTTCTATGACCTAATTTAAACCTTACAGCAACCCTAGGAAGTTGCCAGATTAATTCCATTAATTATTAACCTAGATTAATTCCACTTCACAAATTAAGAGACAGTCTCAGGGATGCTAACCTGTCCCAAGGTCGCACACCTAGTAATGGAAGGGTTGAAACACAGGCCAAATGGGCCCAACTCCACAGACTTAAAGGTTGATACTTTTATGTACATAACGATCACCAAATGTTGGAGGCAAGTGGAATTTTTGAAAAAAGCTGGAAGAGCAATACTTACACTAGACAAAACAAAGGTTATCACCAGAGACAAAGAATATTTCATATATAATAGCCAAGAAGTATCCATGATAGACAATTGAATATAGATGTGGTACATGTACACAATGGAACACTACTCAGCCATGAAAAATATTAAATCTTACCATTTGCAACAACATGGATGGACCTAAACGGCATTATGCTAAGTAAAATAAGTCAGACAGAGAAAGACAATTACCATATAATTTTACTGATATGTGGAATCTGAAAAACAAAATAAATGAACAAACAAAATAGAGAAGGACTCATAGATACAGAGAACAAACTGATGGTTGGCAAATAAGAGAAGGTTGAAAAAGATAAAGAGATTAAGAAGTTCAAATTAGTAGTTACACTATAGCTTGGGGATGTAAAGTAGAGCATAGGGAATACAATCCTATATAATAAAAGGGAAATATGCAAATTGACCCTAACAGCAGAGTGACTGGGAATCACTGGTCACTATGACACACACTGAGCATCAGGGGGCAGACGCTCAATGCAGGAGCTGCCCCCTGGTGGTCAGTGTGCTCCCACAGGGGGAGCTCTTCTCAGCCACAAGCCAGGCTGACGGCTGCCAGTACAGCGATGGTGGTGGGAGCCTCTCCTGCCTCCTCAGCAGCGCTAAGGATGTCCAACTGCAACTAGGTCTGGTCCCTGCAGGCAAGTGGACATCCCCCAAGGGCTCCCGGGCTGCCAGAGGGATGTCTGACTGCCAGCTTAGGCCCAATCCCCCGGGAAGCGGGCCTAAGCCAGCATGTGGTCATCCCCCAAGGGGTCCCAGACTGCGAGAGGGCACAGGCCGGGCTGAGGGACTGTCCTGAGTGCACAAATTTTTGTGCACCAGGCCTCTAGTCAGTAATATTGTACTATGTGTGATGCCAAGTGGGTACTAGACTTACTGGGGAATCACTTCATAAATTATATAAATGTCTAACCACTATGCTATACACCTGAAACTAATATAATATTGAATGTTAAATGTAATTGAAAAGTAAAAATACATAATTTCAAGCAAAACAAAAAAAGGAGATTTTGGACACACACAGAGCCACCAGGGACATGCACACAGAGGACAGACCACGTGAGGACACAGTGGGCAGGCAGCTACCTGTAAACCAAGGAGACTTTAGAAGAAACCCTGCCGACAGGGTTTCTTGATCTTGGCTGGACTTTCAGCCTCCCGAAATATGAGAAAATAAATTATGTTAAGACACCCAATCTGTGGTACTTTGCTATGGCAGTCCTAGCAGACTAATATAGGCATTTGTTTAGAAAGGAGAAAAAAACTGGAGCCTGGGTGGGGAGGTGGCAGAAACCTCTAACGAGGCATAGCAGGTGGTTGGGAGTCAGACTGCCTTGGTTTCAGAACCAAGTGCTACCATTTATTACCAGGGTGAAACTGGGCAATTCAGCCAGTCAATTTGTGCCTCAATTTTCTCATCTACAGAAGGGGGACCTCATAGGGTTGTGGTGAGCATCAAACAAGTTAATATACATAGATGTCTAGAATTATCCCTGGCATCTGGTATCATATACATGCTCAACATTGAGTAGCCGGCTTAGTAATTATTTTCACTCTAGGAAGGGTTAGGACACTAGAACAGAGATTTCAGAGCAGCCCAGGGCACCTGAGGAAGCTGTGTCCAAGATGGACAAATAGGCCTATAGATTAGAACAGTGGTCTCCAACCAGAGGGCACATCAGCATTCCGGGAGGTGTTGGGACAGATTGCTGACCCCTCCCCACAGCTTCATTTTCAAAGGTCTAGGGTAGAGCCTGAGAGTTTCTGTTTCTTAGTGGACCCAGGAGTGTCCATGCTTTATATGGGAACCACACTTGGAAAACCACTGAGCTGGAAGTACATAGGGCCATCTTAGCACACAGCATGCCCCCTGTGGGTTTTCTAGGTGGGTGACATCTTTGCCCTCATCCAAGAGTTGTTAAAGATGCTGGTGGAGAAGCCAGGCTGTGGAGACCCTCTGTTTCTTCACTCACCATGAATTAGAAGGATAACCATGTAACTGGGACTGGGGTGGCCCAAAGAATGTCCAGCTTCTAGAAACAATCTACTACAAGTTGGCTGATTTTTTCTGTGTTAAATTTCTTGGAACAATAATACTAGCAAGGTTAGAAGGCCATGCCTAACCCGTTTGGTTTTTCCTTTTTCCCCCATGCGCGCTGGGGACAAAAGGACACACCAGGGGAGGAGGCAAGGAACCACGCATGGGCACAGCACCCATGGGAGGGTTTGCCCATGATGGCCGGAACCTGGGAATCTCCGTAAGTTCAGAGAGAACATTCTGAATATTGTGCACTGAACACCACGCCTGGGGACCCACACATTAACCCTTAGCTGCCAGGCAACCTGGGACCAAGTTTTGGCTCTGCCCAGTAACTGATGGCAGCTCTTGGCCATGACAGTCACCATGTCCAAGTGTCAAGTGTTCTCCTCATTGGTTTAGTGGTTGTGACTGAGATGTCAGAAGAGAGAGCAGGAGGGGCAGGCATTTATAAGTTTGTCAAAAGAGCAAGTGGGTGATACCAGCTTCACCCTGACATGCTTCAGATACACATTGTTCCACATGCAACTGAAGTGATGACCTATGGGATTCTGTGGGAGATGTCACCCTGCCACTAACAGGGTTCAAAAGCAAGTGACAATGAGCAGGCTTTTCTGTCCAGCCCCTGCATGTGACTCAGCACCCCATAAAGTATTGGGTTGGGCCCCTGCCCATACTCAAAATCAACTCTGACACAAGTGCTCCATCAAGATGCTTACAATGTAGTGCAGGAGGGGAGACAAGTTCAAAGAGTTGGAATATTCAGTATTACAAGGGAAACAGAGCAAAGGTCAAAGGGGGAAAATGGCTGTTGGAAGGAAAGTGCTATGAGGGGTCACAAAAGGAGAAATTATTTTGGTTGGCAGTGTTCATGGAGAAGGTAGTGTTTGAGTTAAGCAGAGGTACGAACCTGTGCTCTATTCCAGACCATAGACATAATCAAAAGACATGAGCATTGACTTGGATCTATAGAACCACCAGTGTCCGGGTGATTGAGAAGATGCCATTAATTAGAAAAGAGGGGGAAAAAGCAAAGTGGAAAAACAAGTTGAGTTTACCTGGGTGAAGCCCTGCAGACGTGCAGGGGTGGCCTGCTGAACCGAAAGAATGGTTCAGAGGTGAGGAGGAAAGGCACAGAGCATCGGGGACACAGCGATGAGAGATGTCGGCCCATAAGAGGGTGAGAGTTCCAGGAGAGAGTGAAGACTAGAACTGTACTCTGGAAACATGTGTAGTGAGGAGGAAGACAAGCTAGAGCAGTGGTTCTCAACCTTCTGGCCCTTTAAATACAGTTCCTCATGTTGTGACCCAACCATAAAGTTATTTTCGTTGCTACTTCATAACTGTAATGTTGCTACTGTTATGAATCGTAATGTAAATATCTGATATGCAGGATGGTCTTAGGCGACCCCTGTGAAAGGGTCGTTTGAGCGCCGAAGGGGTCGCGACCCACAGGTTGAGAACCGCTGAGCTAGAGGATCAGATGGGCTGGAAACAGCATCAAAGAGGCAGAATCATATCAAGGGTAGAGTTTACAAAAGGAGGATATGTGCATTCATTTCACAAATATGTATAGAGAGGCCATGTGGCTGAAAAATGACACCACTTTTATCCTCAGAGTTATTCCACGTCCAATGTCAGGAAAATCAAAATGCATTAGAGAAAATGAGAGTTGAGATGGACCATTGATTTAAGCAAATAGCAGGTTCCTAATGGGACCAGGGAGGGAAGAGAATTCCCTTCGGGATGCATCTGGGCCCTGTGGGAGAGGAGGATGAGTAGACAGCTCAGGAGAGTCTTCCAGAAAGACTGGTCCTGGTGGACAGGACTGTGACAGCCTGAGGGCACTGGTATGCTGAGATTTGAAAATTGCCTTAAAGTGAGAGAACCCACACGTTAACCAAGTAAAAACAGGGCCCCAGGCTCACCCAGGAAGGAAACAAATCCCCAAATGTCACACTTAACAAATGAACCCATTCTAAGACATTACAGTAACAGTAAGAAAAACACTTTACCTAAGAAATGTCATCCTTAACAAATGA